TTTGTGTAGAGAAAGACTGTTCATTAGAGACTGAGTAGTTAATTTTTCCCTACAAATGGGGCTCACTTTTGAGCTGCCTGCCCATCATTCAGGGCAGCCAGCTCAGCATCAGCCTCCAGAGGGGAGTGGGGGGCTCTGGATGCAGTCAGTTGAACAACTGCATTGTCACCACCAGATTGCTTCAGTTTCATTCATTAAACCCTCCCTGACCAGCCTCCTCCAGTGCTGTCAGTGAAGGCTGACTTCTGGAAGGTACAGAAGAGAAATTATTGATTCAGGGAAGCAAGTTAAGCAATTCAGAAATGTCTCCTTGGAGCTGAGTTGGTTCCTCTCCTTGGAAACCTGCTCCTCTTTCAGCCCAAGCTGCAGATTCCCAGTGAGGCTGGAGCACAGGTTCTTCTCTTGCTGCCACTCTCTTTTGAGGATGACAATCCACTGACAGTAGATTAGACTATGTTGTCATGTAAGATGAATATTTTGAATTGACAAACCTTTTTTTGAAAGCTTAAAGTAATTGACTGAGTACTCGAGAGGATTTTTTTTCCCCGCTTCGCAACTTGATTTTCCATTACCTGGTTGTGCTGCCTTCAGTGGGTGAATTGCAGGGTATTTTTATATCTGATTCCTAATATTTGTTTGCATATCAGGTTTCTTAATGCTTGAGCTCAGTGATCTATGGGAATTTAACATGTGTCTTAAGTAAAGAGAATTTCCTTGGAGCTCTAAGTTAACTTTTATGCATAGCCTGAAAATTCAACACAGAAGTCTATCCCATGGAGAGATTGCTGAGGTACCAAAGTGGATACGATCAATTGAAAAGACCCTAACACAGAGCTGAGCTACTCAGAGCATCATGGAGTGGTTTGGGTTGGAAAAATCATCTTTCTGTGGGCAGGGATACCTTCTTGGATGAGGTTGCTCAGAGATCCATCCAACCTGGCCTTGGACACTTCCAGGGCTGGGACAGCCACGGCTTCTCTGGGCCCCCTGTGCCAGGCCTTGCCCACCCTCACAGGGAGGATTGTTTACTAAGGTCTCATCTAAGCCTACTCTTCTCCAGGCTGAAGCCATTCCCCCTTTGCAGGAGCATCGTGGGGTAGGACAGTCAGGATGGATGGAGAGCAGAGATCTCTGAAGGCAGATCTCTGCAATAAACTTGTGGTTTATTGCAAAGAGCCTGGGTGCAGGGCCCTGCTGGGAGCTGCCAGCCTCAGCTCAGAGCAGGCCTGAGAGAGGGAGAGAGAGGGAAAGAGAGACAAGGCAAGAGCATGGTAAAGAGGATGAGAGAGGGTGAGGTTCCCCTTACAACACAATAAATCTTCTTCTGTGTTGAATCTTCTAATTCTCACTAACTAATCTAGTACAAGATACAAATCCTATTGAATTTCCATACAGCCTGTAAGACTCATTACACTGCCATACTGTGTTACATTTTAAACCCTAAAAACTCCTCTTTGGACCCCTTCTGCCAAGCTGGCAGGGTCTGCTCTGACCCATGGACCTGTCTGCAAGCAGAGGGTGTTGTTTTATCAAAGGAAGATTACCTTCAGCCAGCCATACCATTATTTTCCAGTTGTTCAGTAACTAAGGTATCTCAAAGCTTGCTTTCATTTCAATCTCGCTTATAGTTTCCATATTCTCAAACTCTTTTGCCAGGCAATCATATTTTTAAGGCTTTCCTGTTTCATCTTCCCCAGCACCCCTTGTCCTGTCACTACCTGGATGGCTTTTCCCAGAGCAGAGCTCTGAGGTGGGACTGGCAAAGAGCTCCAGCATCTGCTGGGCCCCCTGAATGGCCCACATCCACCCCTCTTGCTTTCCTGGTGTGCATGTGGCCAGGGATGGCTGCACCCAGGAACCAACAGTTCATTCCTGACAAGATACATTCCAAGAAACAACATAACTGGGTTTTTTTCAGATCTTTCCTGGCAAATGCCTGGGGAGAGGGAGCAGGGGCTGAGCAGGTGCCAGGCTCCACTCCAGGGCCCTCTGCAGCTCCTGGCAGCTCCTCCCCAGCACTCTGATTAAGTGAGATGTGGGGCTAAGTTCACAGCCTAATTTCTCCTTCATAATTAAAAATGCGTGCATCTGTCATGCTGCTGGTGATTAGTTTGTATTTTCTTGTGGCCTAGAAGGAATATGGCAGTGAATCACTTGGCCAGCAGCTGTCCTCCAACAGCTGAGGGAGGTTCAATATTTGATTTAAGCTAATAAAAAGTCTGGGATAGGGCTGATGTTTACAAACTGGACGTGATAAAGCATCCAGATCAGCTGCATCACAGCCTGGCAAGTGCAGGCATTGGGGACCCTGCTGAAAATTTAGGCTTTGTCTGGAGCTTCCCCAGCTGTCTGAATAGGGGGACAGGGAGTGGGAGGGTCCCTGCTCTGGACTCTGAGTGCATCCCACAGCATCAGCCAGCTGGGGAAGCCTCCTGGTTTCCAGCTTTGTCGTTGTAACAGCTCTCACTGAATTAAATGTGTCCCTTTTGCTCTTCTGTGAGAGTTGCAGTCAAACCATGATGTTTAAAAATCTTTTAATCTTCATAAATCATTTCTTCCAGCAGTCTGGTAAGTTTAGTAGCTGCTCTCTGAATTCCCACTAGTTACTGACTCTTTCCCTTTGAGATGAGCTGCCTAGAAATGAATGCAATGAAGAAAACCTACTTTGTGATTTAGTTCTTATCTGATTGCTTCTCCAAATCATATTGATCTGCTGTTGTTGTGATGCTGGCTTGGACTTGCTGTCCAGGGTTCTGTGTCTCTGTTGGCATAGCACCTTGAAATGGTTTTTTCCCCAAGCCATATTATATCCAAGATAAATTATGGCATATTTCCCACTTGTATTTTCAATTTTCCCCATCCCTTTATATAATTTCTCTCTTGCCTAAAAGGTTTTTCCAGCCTTTTCCTGAAGTAAAATGCGTTGGAGTCTTTGCTATCGTTTTCTTCTGACTTTTATGGAGGTATTATGCTTTAAAATGCTCCTATACCCATCCAGTTAAACAGGCTCCTAGGGTACTGTGGCCTTGGTGTTATAGATAAAAATATTTACACTGTGAGGGTGACCAAAACTTGGCACAGTGTGATGGGTTGATCCAGGGGATTGAGCTTTGAGGGGATTCCCACTCTTCCAGGGTGGGTTACTCTGTGATTCCAGAGGAGTCTGTGTGAACAGGAGGCTGAACAGAGACTTGATCCTCAAATTCAGGACTGGCAGCTACTGTTAGAAAAGACATGATTTTAATGTCATTTTAAATTAAGTAATTCTTACAGGTGGTTTAGAATAGGCTAGTGGTTCCCATCTAAAGGTCATCTTCATACAGAGAAAGCTAATAAATATACAGAACGGTTGGAGTAGTTTGTAATCAAAAATATTCAGTCAGTCTTGTGGTGTTTTGCAGAGTTTATGCCATCATCTCTCCTAAATAACCTCTCTAAGGTCTTGTTTTCTAATTCCTCCCCAAGCAACTCCTGGCTCCAGCCTGCTCCCTTGTACCTGCTTCAGCAGCAGTAGGGAAAAGTCTTTCCCAGGTGTCTGCAAATTTACAGTTCCCTGATGTTTCCACATCAAGCCTGGTGATCATTTCATTTGCTCTCTTCCCTTGCCTGTCCAGGCACCCCAGTTTGGGTTGGGGCTGGCATTTCCTGCAGTGTTTAATGAGTGTGTTTCATTCTCCTGTGCCAGGTCCCAGGCTTGTGTTAAAACCCTTTTCATCCTGTTTCAGTGTCTCTCCCTCAAATAATGTCACATCATCCCCAGCCCTGCACAGCAAGAGGCTGAAACTTTTTCAGTTTCTGCTGAGCTCTGGGGCCAGGGAAATTTGGAACTGTTTGCTTGTTTGTTGGCAAAATGGAACTTCTGCTGTGCTGAACCCTTAGACTGTATTTTTTAAATTTAATTATTTGCTTGCATTTCAGTGCAGTTAGCCTCCAAAGCTGAATGTTTTGCTTTTCATTGTAATAAACTGCTTGCTGTTTGTCTCTGGTTTGGATGTGGCACTCAAAAGGCTCATTTCATATGTGGTGGGAAGTTGAGAGACTCCAGAGGATTTTAATGAATATTTGCTTGAAATGACATGAATCAGTTTGTAGGAAAGTTGTTTTTACTTCTTTTATTTGTTTACATTGGTTTTTTGCTAGGCAGAGAAAGGCTGATTGCAGCCTAGCAGAGTGTTAGAAAATCAAGGATGTGGGAAGTAATAGCATTCACATATTATGTGTGGCTTCTCTTAACTGTCTCCTAAATACCCATTTGGTTTAAAATCCTTTTTCATAAACAAAACTCTGTAAAAGATCCTTTTCTGAGTCAAGTTCCTGTTTCCCCTTAGATTATGCCAGGACAACCAAAGGTATTTCTACTCTGGTTTGAGATTCTTTACATTTCAAATTTCCCTTTTAAAAAGTAGAAATGCTGCATTGAGATCATTTCTCATGGAAATTCAAGAGGTTTATGTTAAAGAGCAGATTTTCTTGATGTTTTCCCACAGCATTTTGGAAGGCTGTGGGAAAAAACCTAACCCTGGACCCCAGAAATTCACAGAACATTTTCTATGAAGTTAGCTTGAAACACACACTCCTCTCAGGAGCTATGGAGCTAAACCTCCTCTTCTTCAAAGTTAAACTGGGCAAAACTGGGTGGGTTTTAGACCACTCTTTCTGCAGCTTCACAGCAATGGAGTGGAAGCACAGTTGTAGCTTGGACCATGGGATTGAAATTTGGGCTGGCTCATCTTGTGGCATCTCTGTAATAAACCTGGTTTTTCTTGTGCACGTAGACTTCAGGCTCTTTGGGATAGGACTGGCTCATGGCATGGGATGCTGATAGGACAGAACAAGATCAAATACTTATAATTCCTTCTCAATCCCATGAAAATCCTGGTGCCATATGTGATGTTTTTTGGGGGGGGGAGTGGGTCAGGGAGGGGGTCTTATTAAACTTCCAAAATTACATCCTAGACTTAATTTCCTTTTGTTTTTTCTCCCTGTTTTTTGTCTTGAAGGCTCAGCTGTCTCAGGTTCTGGAAGAAGTGGGAAACCACAAGCAAAGAGCAGAGATAGTAAGTGGTCAATTTTTTCTTTTTCCCCTGGTTGTTTTACAGAGCAGCAATATGCAAAGTTCAGTTCATTTAAACAGTGGATCAGTTCCAAATATTCAGAAACGAATAGCAAATAAACATTGCAAAAATTGTGTTGCTGCTGCCAGTCTTGGCACTCCCTGTCTCCATGCTCACCTGGAAAAAGTGTTGGATGAGATTTAGTGGTCTGTCTTCCTTTTTCTGGCAATTCCTTTTCTCCTCAGCAGTTCTAGATCAGAAGCAAGCATTTAATTTCATACTGAATTAACTCCTTTCTTTGGGGGCCTTTGATTCAGTCTCAAGTGTTCAAAGAACAGGCAGATGAGATACAAGAGAATTACCACAAACTATTTTTTTATAATATCTGTTAATTTTCTGCTGGGTTTGTCTATTTTATTGGCACTTCCCTCAAGGACCAAAAACAATGAAAGGACACAAAACCAGGTAGCAGGGAGGTTTATATTCAGTTTCATGACTTGAATATGATTTTTTATGCTCAGGAATAAACGAGGTGTCAGTGTTAAGCTATTTGTGAACTGATATTTTTGCTAATGGATGAACTGTGGGATTCCTGCAACTTTTCCTAGTCACAAGGAAAACCTGAGCAGTATCCAAGATGCAGAGACTCATTCTGTAGATGTGATTAATTTTATTACTAATATAAAAACAAGCCCGCAGCACTGGCTAGTAAGTAGGTGCTAAACAGACATCTGTTCTAAAATCCAAATCATAAACTAGAGTGCCAACACAGGTCTTTTTAGACTTGTGCTGAGCTCTGGTAGGGCACTGAAGGGCAGGATGAGGTGCCCCTACTGTGCTATTAATGGGTTGCCATACGTCTCTTAAAATCTTTTTTTAAATTTGTGCCTCTTGCTGTTTCAACATCAGATTTTCCATCGTGAGAGCGTTAATTGATTCCGGTTCTGGGGTGGTCTCACAATGTGGGCAAACATTTTTGTATGCCCAGCTGCTTTCTGTGGTGACACAGGCCACAGCTGATATTTCCAAAGAAAACTGAATTAATCCTATTTACCAGCTGATCTCATTATGTGCTGCCTTGTAACAGTTTCAAATTCTATACAATCAATTTGATGTTGTGCTCACTGGATGTATCAGAGGAAAAACTTGCTGTTACGTTTTAAATTGTTCTGATGTTATGGAGTTGGGTTTTTTTAACATTTAAAAGTTTTTCTTTTGGGCTCATTAAGCCTGCTTTTTGACTTGTTTGCCTTCAAAAATTTCTTGTGTTAAGTGGGCTAGCGGAAGGCTGGAGAAGCTGGAACTTCCAGTGTTAAAGCATTAATTGGTGTTGTGCACCATCCATCAGAGGATGAAGCTGCAGTCAGTGTTCAGTGCCTATTCCCAAGGGTTTCTCAGTGGAAAACTGCTGCTCTTGTGATCTTCCAGTAACTCTTACATCAGCCTCCCATGAACAGGCTGTTTTCTGGGGTGCTTTAACCATGGATTGCAGATTGTGAGGTATGGGCTTTATTCAGCAGCTTGAATTTATTCTGTAAATACAAGAGAATTGATTCATGCAGAAGAAAAGAGATCTTTTTTCCCCCATATTTTCTCTTTTTGAGGGAAAACCTGACAGTATAGCTCCTTTCCACTGGTGGTAGATGGTTCTTCTGCACCCCCAGTCAAAAGCTCCCTGCTAGGACAAGTTGTTGTCACTTTGTGTCTTCTGCAGTGGTGATGGTGACTGAGGTCTGTCCCCTTTGGATGGGGCTGTTCCATAGCTGCCTGACACAGGCTGCTGTGGATGTGCCACCAGCCCCACTCTCCTCCTGCCATCCAGCAAAATGCTCTTTATGTGGTTTTTTCCCCCCTCTCCAGATCAGTGTCTCACCTGCCTGGCCTGATTTTTGACTCCTTTAAATTTGACGCTTCAGCAAAATTATTTGTCTGGTTTGGGTCTCTCACCTTCCTTTTCATCCCTTTCACCTGTGAGCCTCCAGCCCCACTTTGGTGCTGAGCTGGGAATGCTGAAGGGCTTGTCCTGCTCTGGGTGCTGACACATGTGGATATTGCTTTTCATCAGCTCTTCTGCAAACAGGCTCTGAGTGAAATGGAACAAACCCCTCTCAGGTGCAGGTGTTTGGGACAATCACCTTCTGGGACAAACCTCTGTGCAGGTGACACCTCTGCTGCCACCCCAAAGAGCTCTGATGGCTCTGCCACCCTCCCTGGGGCACAGAGCTGGGTCTGGCTCCAGGGCACTGGCTGATATCACCTCACTGAGAGAACCAAGCACTTCTTTCTATCAGTGGGGGCATCTCTGGTGCCCTGGTCAATGATTTACACAGTAATTTTTTACATAGCAATATTTAAAAGTACAATACTCGTGGGATAAGTCTGATGGGATCATGGCCTCAATACAACAGTATCTGCACATTCAGGGCCTCTCCTCTGAGGACAAGCCCAGGGAATTGTGTCCCCAGGGACAATGGCACAGGAAGGGTGGTGTGTGTGTGATAAGGAGCCCTGTGCCAGGCCAGGTCCTGCTAGAGGAAAATGGGATGCCAGTGAAATGGAGGGGCTGTTCTCACTGCTCCAGTGCAGGGATTCTTTGCTTGTCAACTGAAAGTGAGCGTGCTACTGAAGGAACAACAAAAAAGGAAATTTAAATGTCTTCAGTTAATTGCAGTTGACAAGACAAAGGCAGTTTGACTTTCCAGTATTAATTAGCAAACCCATACTAATTAGCTTGTATAAGCACAATTCATGCCTCTTTCCCTAAATGCAATTAATATTGCAACTGAAGACTGGGCTGTGCCTCTGTATCATTAACATACTTTGCCCTAATTAGACAAGGCCAGTAGTGGCTGGAGAAATGAGTTTGTGATTACAACCATAAAAAACCCTCTAATATTTTATATCCTTCAGGGAACTTGAACCTAGAATTTATTTTTTGATTTAAGAAAAATTACCCTTATCATTGTGCTATGTAATTAACAATGAAACTTTGATTTTCCTCTCCCTCTAACCCTTCACTTATTTATTTTTGGGGTTTTTTCCCACAGTTTAAGCTTGTTCATACTGTAAGGGAACAGTGTATGCCCATAAGACACATAAGAGTCACCACTCTTAATAGGACTCAGGTCACTGAGCTGAGAGATCCATGGGGTTTTTCTGTCTTTTATTTGCTGAATGTTTGTTGTTTCCATTTTTTTTTTGTATCAATGTGCACTTTTCTGACAATTTGATCAGCACTGGAGGTTTTCTTTATTGGGGCTGATGCTACAGTGTTTTTATTTGCAGGATGTCAGCTCCCTGATCTGTGGTCCTAGGATCTTATTTCACATGGTGTGTTAGTTTAGTGCTCTACTGGCCTAAAGCTGAGGGAGAGCTTCACTCACACCAAAATATTATTTGTGGAAAATGCCTTCTTGTTTGTTATATTATTTTTCTTTCCCTCCCTGAGGGAAGGGAAACAGAAGACGTGTTTGTTTTTGTAATTTTCGTTTTCCTTTTTCATATCCCTTTATAGACACGAGGAGATTGTTTGGCTCAAGCTTGGCATCCAAGCAACAGCTCTGCTCTGTGATCTTACTCTTTCTTCCAGTCTGGTTGTGTAGCAGGGGGCATTCATGTCAAGATTTTTTGTTCTCCATCATTAATCCCTGAGGGAAGTTGGCTTGGTATTAAAAAAGCATCACCTGTATTTTCATTACCCTGAGGTGCTTTGGGCATCTTTTGGCTTTCATCTTCAAAAGACAGCTTGGCCCGTGTGGGCTCTGAAATCTATAGACTGCTCTTTGGAACAAATTAAATTTCACCCTCCAGCAGATTAAAAAGGATGGATATAAGAATCAGAGGAATTGCTTAGCAGGGTGGGAGGTAAAGAAGATTTGAAGTCCAAGAATGCAGCCATCACCAAATGAATGGCATAAATTGAGTGTCCTTACAGAGGGAATAAAGACACCTTCAAATTAATATAATCAACGCCCCTTGCCTTGAGGAAAAGTGTTGGTTAACCCTTTGCAGAGAAGGGGAGACCTTTACTTAAGAGCAGCAGGTCAGCAATAGTTAAAGAGCCAATCATGTGTTCAGTCTGATGAAATCATAATGTTTAGGATTAACTTAAATGTCAGTGACTGCCTACACTGATGGTTATCAGGAGTAGAAATGGAGACAGAAAGGAGAGGACATGAAGAAAATAAACTCAGACAACACTGAGCTTGATGTAGTTGGGAACTAACTGTTAACTGGAAGGCAATATGGAAAAGTTATTACTATGTTTTTAATTTACAGGTAACACCAATGATAATAGGAAAAAATATGAACTTTGGTATAGGAATACCTGCCCCGGATTAATGGCCAATAGAGCTAATTTAATTCTTGTTTAAGAGTTACTGAACAGAAAGCAAGAAATACAATAGACTGAGAACAAGAACAAAAGTGGTGTTCATTAGTGGAAATGTAAATTCTCTGTATTTTCTGTAACAGGAAGGCAATTAAATGTGGGATTAGAGGGCTGAACCACAGTAGTGATAAATAAAAATGAAGCTTTGCTGGAACATCTTTAGAACCAACAGGTTGGGAGGGGCAGGAGACAACTGACTGGTGCAGGAAGTCTCCATCTATCAAAAGTGTATTACATAATTTCTGAATTGATTTAGCAGGTGACAGCAAATCTCCTTCCCATGTGACAGATTTCATCCTAACACTTTATGTGAGGCCAGCAAAGCCAAGACAGATGAGCAGTGTGGCACTCAGCTGAGCAGCAGGGTGAATAGTTTTAGTGAGGCAATCTTAGAGAAATATCCACTTCTCAAATCAGATTGAAAAGCATGAACCTGGTTATAAAAAGACAGCAAAAGAAGCTAATCCAGAATGAAATGATGTAGTAACAGAAGACTGGAAGAGGACTTTTAGATCATAAAGTCCAGTCCTTCAGTAACTGAGGCAAATTCAGTATATATCTCAGTCCATAAATTTATCAAGCTTGTCTTGAAACTGCTTTGGTTGTTTGCACC